GGCCTCCAAGTGCAGAGGTTTGTAGGACAATAGCAAATTTCCCTCAAGTGTATGACCTAGGTTTATCAATTCATAGGAGGCGTAGGATGAAGATGGTCTCTCTCTCAAGCAACCTTGCAACCAAATAACAAAGAGTCTCTTGTGTCCCCAACACACCCAATAGAATGGTAAATTGTATATGTGCACTAGTTCAACGAAGAGATGGTGATACAAGTGGTATATGGATGGTAGATAATAGTTTTTGTAATCTGGAAATATAAAAACAGCAAGATAACGAATGATAAAAGTGAGTGTAAACGGTATTGCAATGTGTTGAAACAAGGCCTAGGGTTCATACTTTTGCTAGTGCAAGTTCCCTCAACAATACTAACATATCTGGATCACATAACTATCCCTCAACATGCAACAAAGAGTCACTCCAAAGTCACTAATAGCGGAGAACAAACGAAGAGATTATGGTAGGGTACGAAACCACCTCAAAGTTATTCTTTCCAATCAATCCGTTGGGCTATTCCTATAAGTGTCACAAACAGCCCTAGAGTTCGTACTAGAATAACACCTTAAGATACAAATCAACCAAAACCCTAATGTCACCTAGATACTCCAATGTCACCTCAAGTATCCGTGGGTATGATTATACGATATGCATCACACAATCTCAAATTCATCTATTCAACCAACACATAGGACCTCAAAGAGTGCCCCAAAGTTTCTATCGGAGAATCACGACGAAAACGTGTGCCAACCCCTATGCTTAGGTTCATGGGTGGAACCCGCAAGTTGATCACCAAAACATACATCAAGTGAATCACGTGGTATCCCATTGTCACCACAGATACGCACGACAAGACATACATCAAGTGTTCTCAAATCTTTAAAAACTCAATCCGATAAGATAACTTCAAAGGGGAAACTCAATCCATTACAAGAGAGTAGAGGGGGGAAGAAACATCATAGGATCCAACTATAATAGCAAAGCTCGCGATACATCAAGATCGTATCACCTCAAGAACACGAGAGAGAGAGAGAGAGATCAAACACATAGTTACTGGTACATACCCTCAGCCCCGAGGGAGAACTACTCCCTCCTCGTCATGGAGAGCACCGGGATGATGAAGATGGCCACCGGAGAAGGATTGCCCCCTCCGGCAGGGTGCCGGAACGGGTCTAGATTGGCTTTTGGTGGCTACAGAGGCTTCTGGCAGCGGAACTCCCGATCTATTGTGCGTTCTGGAAGTTTTAGGATACATAGGTATATATGGGTGAAAGAAGCACGTCGGTGGACCGAAGGGGGGCCACGAGGCAAGGGGCGCGCCCCCACCCTCGTGGGCACCTCCCTTCTTTCCCGACGTGCACTCCAAGCTTTTCCGGTAGCTTTCCTTCCAAAATAACTTCTCTAGTTGATTCCGTTCCGTTTTGACTCCGTTTGATATTCCTTTTCTTCGAAACACTGAAATAGGCAAAAAAACAACAATTCTGGGCTGGGCCTCCGGTTAATAGGTTAGTCCCAAAAATAATATAAAAGTGGATAATAAAGCCCAATATTGCCTAAAACAGTAGATAACATAGCATGAAGCAATTAAAAATTATAGATACGTTGGAGACGTATCACGAGGAAAGCCGACCGGAGGCGAGGCCAGGGGCGGCCAGTGACGGCGGTGGGGAAGGCAGGAGCAGAGCGGGAAGCGGGGTGAGGCCACAGCGGACAGGGTCGCGCGTGAGTGCGTGCGGCGTCGTGGGCGCGCACGGGAGGGCGACACAGCGAGGCGAGGCTGGCCAGACGAAGCTGTGGGGCGCGGTGGTCGGGCGCTGGGCGTGCCAGGCAGGGCACAACCACGCGCTCATTCGGGAGGCCGTGTGCTGCGAGCAGGCAATGGCGACGCGGGGCGCGCAGGCCAAGGGAGAGGAGCGGGAAGGCGGGAGAGGGGAGCGTGCTCACGAGGCCCTGTAGAGGTGCTAAAGTGAGCTCGGGGAGGCACCAGAGCTCGGGACGGCGGTGGTCGATGGCGGGGACGGCGACGGCGCTGTGAGGTGGCGGCGTTCGGGGAGGCGCGGCACCAGATCGGGGC